CTATGCGGTATACTCAAGAACAACTCTGAACTAATCCATTGATTATTATGCAGAAAGGCAAGCTATTGTGTATTTCTAGGAAAAGAAAAAAACTTTACATATGAAGGAGCACCTACTATGTACTATAAATGGAACGGGAATGAGATTTTAATAATGAAACCACACTTGGGAGAATTAGCATGTGGTAGGATACTTGGTGACAACAGGAATGCACTGTGTGAGCATGTTATCTTATTGATGACATTTCCATTTCTTTACTGTGTAGCATTTATGGTATAATTAGTCGATTGTGCAGTTGAACTGGTTCTAAAATATGAACTTATCTTAAAGTTTAAAAATAAGTCAAGTATGAATTCCTGAATCTTTGTCCAAAGAAAAGAATTGATGGTTTTATTCTGATGAAGGGGTATCTATCTATTAGGATCCTCTCTGCAAAATCAGTATCCATAAAACCACTGGCAAAAAAAAAAAAAGTGGAAGAGTTGTTTCAGATACTCTGAGTTATCTCCAGTATAAAATTTCTCTTTCTCAGTACCCTAGAATATAGGGAAGGGACTCAGGTAATTATGGTAATAGATAACATTGAGGCTTAGATTGGTCCAAGAGAAAATGCTTAACAAAGCAGCCATTATTTTCATGTGATTATAGGTTCACCTTTTCAGCTGCTTCCTCTAGGTCATTTAAGTAGGTCTTTCAACAGACAATGTGGTGAGATTATTAGAGGTAGCTTGGGAATGTTTACTTGAACTTGCTATTGTATAGATGTCTTTATCCTTGATGTGGTTTCCCAGACTGTCACTTCAAACTTTTCTTATCAATGTACCCCATCAGAAATGAAAACAAACCACCCTTTAACTGATATTTCAGTTTCTGAACTGTCAATGTTGAACTGACCTCTGCTGTATCTTGACAAGCAGGACAGATTAGCTCTCAGGTAGCTCAGCCTTGAAGACTGCCTCTCTGCAGTCCCTGTGGCATTTCTCTGGCTTTAGCCAAGCTACACATCTAGGCACTAATCCCTTCTGAGGCAGATCCATTTCATCTTCTCAAGCCAAATCCCTTAGTTTTATTTCTACTGGAATAAAGAGAGAGGGAGAAGGCTTCTCTTATTCCTGAGGATCAAACTAAACACCCCATCATTTTCATCTTTCTGTTCCTGTCAGCAAGACACGTGCAGGTTATTCAGCTCTGGCTGTGATTCTCAGGGCACAGAAGCTGCTCTGCTCAGCAGGTAGAAGGGACCTGCTCTGCTCAGGTCAGAAAGCTACTGAGTCCGGTGTTTACACTCAGAGAACATGGATCCACAAATTCTTGTTTCTTGACAATCACACTCCATAATTATCTTCATTCTCTGGAAAATCAATGTTCTAGCATAAAGGGATCAGAGGTTTACTTTATGCTTGCAGTTTAGACCCATAGACTCACTGCTGCTGGCCAGAATGGTGCTGTTTTATTTTCACCAGTCTTGGGGCATTTGTTTTCTTGTTGAGAGCACTTAGGTGTGGCCATCTGTGATAGCATGACACTAAGGTTCTGTGCTTCAGTCACAACTGACCAAGCAACAATCACACCCAAATATTAAAGTGATCATTCAGAGCTGGCAGCTCCATCTTTAGGAGAAATTCAACCCTCAGGGACAACAAAAGAAACCCAGACACTCTGTTGAAGGCTAAACAAAATCAAAGAATTGTAGGTCATCCAAGAGCCAAGCAATGTCATTGTCAAACCTCCAAGAGAAAGTGGAAATTGAGGAATTGCTTTAAGGTCATGTTGGTATTTTAAAGGGAAAAAAATTAGGATGAAGTAAATTCCCAAATTGTAACCTGACCTAGATCCTTCAATAAAGCCAGTGTTCCATAAAGCTGTTGCCAAATGCTATTTTAATCAAAGCCATCCTTTGCTGGAGCTCTATCCTGAAAGTGCAGCTATTTTCATCAAGAGAACTCTGACAGCATACCCAGGAGGAACACACAGTGTTGCTGGCATCATTTAACTGGATTGTTGCTTGGTGCTTCTACAGATAGTGAAATGTTACTCATCTTTGTTGATATTGGTGGCCACTTTCTGTCTAGAAAGATATACTACATCCTGGTATTGGGATCTTATAAATGTACTCTGTTCCCACTGATATGCAAACAGATCTCATTCACATTTATGATTACATAGACTTTCTCCCTCAAGAAAGTTAAGTCACTATAGCTCTTAAAATTTTGAAACTTGTTTGATAGATAGCCTCATATGCATACTATACAGGCAAGGAAACTGGAAAAAGCATGTTTATGTGGAAAAGAGAATGTATGAATGAATAGATAGCTTGAATAGGTAAAGAAAAAGAAGAAGAAGGAGGCTCCTATAGCATTTTCAACTTGAGGGGAATGGATTTAGGAAAGATTCTACCTCCAATGATGAATACATTCCAAACCTCACTGTCTTCCTAAATATTTCCACTATGGGAAAACACCAACAGAATATTCAAGAAAGTACTTGTGTGATTAAAACCATACATGGCCAATACCCAAAGGAGAGGTCCATTCAGTAAATCAATGAATTACTTAAAGCTATGCCTGAACTAGGGACATGAGTAGCTTCATGGAAAGACTGAGCTTCCTGAATTTCACAAGAACATATGCATTGATGATGGTTAATTTTATGTGTCAACTTGAGTGATCCATGGAGTGCCCAGATGTTTGGTCATACATTATCTTCTCAGTATTTCTGTGAGAGTATTCCTTTTTCATTAGAAGACTGAGTAATACAGTTTGGCCTCTAGAGGCGAATGGGCTTCAGTCAGTCAGTTGAAGACCATCATAGAATAGAAGGCTGGCTCCACCCTGAGTGACACAGAATTCTCCCTGACAGTCTCTGAACTGGCATATCTGCTTTTCTCATATGACAGCCTCTAAGTTGGGACATCAGGTCTTCCTGGTTCTACTTTGGACTTGACCTGGAATACTGTTTCTGCATTTTTGGACTTGCTGGACTTCATAAATGTATGAGCCAATTTCTTATAATAAATATCTCTCCACTGTGTACTATCTTGGTTTTTCTTTGTAGACTGGTGGTTCTGTTTGTCTGTAGAACCCTAATTAGTTTGTCACCTAGGATTTTCAAGTAGGATGAACACTTGCCAATAAATTCTCAGTGCTGGCCACAATAGTAAAAATACAGTAAATAGTAAAAAAAAAAAAAAGTCCTATCTCAGAGGTGTATTTATAGAAAAATCTAATGGTATTGAAGGATTGTCAGAAACACATTTCCTTAAACATCTTGCTGTTTAGTTGGTGTTCAGTTTCTTTTTATACAGGACAGGGGAAGGCATTTTGAAGAAGACAAATGCTCATATGAATCTGTTGGTGAGCACGGCTCTATCATCTCTGGAACTGGTGGCTGTGTTGTCTTCTGTCACAGCCCCTTGCACTGTGTCTGACATGTTCAGGGTAGTTAGTGCTTTCACTAGCAAATAAAGGCACTGTGGGTTATTAATAAGTGCTTGGGAGAATAACAGAGTAGAAGAATATTAAGAGGGAAGAAGTAGGGAAGGGCATGGGGAAGTACTGGGGAAAAAAATCTACAAAAGTATGCTTTGTCCATGTGTGAACATACTACAATGAATCCTGCTTGTATATATAATTATTATACACTAACTAATTATGATACACTTACTACTATTACTACTACTACTACTACTACTACTACTACTACTAATAATAATAACACATGGGAGCAATGGATAGAGCAAGTAGATCAGGGGGAGGAAGGAAAGGGAAAAAAAGGACAGAAAGGGAGAGTGAGATTGATCAAATGTGCATGGATGAGTATGGCATAATAAATTCCAGTACTATGCATAATGGTAATGCACCAATAAAAATTGTTAAAGAGGAAAAAAATTAATGAACTATAAAAAGTACTCATTTCAATGTTCTACACATTTTAACTGATGAATAACCCATACAGATTTATTCTGAACACACAAAACAGTTAGCATGTGCTTGCCTTCAATGGTATCCAGTCATATGGATGCAGAAAAAGAAATTCAACATACTTTCATTTTCCCTAATAAAAAGTGACATATATTCCTGAAAAGATCTCAAACTATTGTTTTTCTAGATATCACCCCATGAGTTTTCCAAGAAGGGAAACTAGCTCCAGCAAATATGTATGCTCCCAGTCTTCTTTTTTTTTTAAAGGATCCAAGTAAAATCAACATACCTCAGCTCATCCAAGTGGGAAATGGAGGAGGGGTTAATATTTACTGAGCACCAACTTGGTGCCATAAAAGATGTCAATATATCTTTTTCTCATTTTGCCTTGATAATAACTGAAAGTGGCTATCATCACTTTTGGTACTTATAGTCACGGAAGTTAAGTGGCTTGGTTAGGGCCACAAACAAACAAACAAACAAACAAACAAAAAACCCCTGTCTCTCCTTGAATATATTTGATCCTCCCTTTTAACCCAGTCATACAGTCACTTGGAGATGAAAACAGTTTGCTCTTGGGAATAAAGCAAAGGCTTAGAAGTTTTGAAACAATCATGCTATTTTCTACCCTGTCTGATCAATGGGACATGAAACTACACACCTCTAGAGGTCTCCCTATCCCCCACCATTTGTAAGATACAGTTGTAACACACATTCTTCGCCAAGGAATCCTGGCCTCTGAACACTTCCATGTCTTATAGTGCTGCAAAATTCTTGGGAGAACTCTAAGCACACAGTGGTCAGTACCAGAATTTCACCAAACACAAGTGGTAGCTACTGATAGTCTTAAATGTTTTCTATCTGATTAGATTATGATAAAAATTAAAAATCGCCCCATGTTAGTAAGAATGTATCTATCTACTTTTCTATGCTTCCTACCTATTCGCTTTTTTGTGCCTGGTGATCTGGCTTCCTGCTGACTACTTTAACCCAGTTAATGGTTGTGACATCCTTTCTTGAAATATGTGAAAATATGGACATCATGCACCAACACCGAAGACGTTAAACAGAAGGTGTTACCTAGCGTGCAGAGACCATCTGTGCAGTTTTCAGATTCCTGGCTGAGACCTTCACAGAATTTGCCCCCATTTCTCGGGGGTGGTGCTGAGCATTCCCGGATCCGGAGATGCTCACAGTCTGGACTGCAGACAGACCATTCACTCCATACTTCCCAGCTTCCGTCCACTTCAAAAGGAAAAGAACAGAAACCATCATTAAAAGGAAGCAGCTGTCAGGAGACTCCCTCCAGGGTTGCTGCTGCTGTCCTTAGCACTGGATTTTAAAGAAATCATCACCAAAATAACAATAAATCCACAGATAAAGAGTATCCTCTCTCCCTGTTTTTTTTTCCTAAAAAAAAAAAAAATGCAGTGATATAATTCTCTTACTATTTCAGGATGAGACAAGTTATTGAATTTAGGCAAGCAGCTGAAAGACCAGTATCTTTGGGTTGGCTGATAAGGGCACTATCTATTCTTTCCCAGTCTTTCATGCTCAAGTGCATCTTAGATGGACAGGTGAACTATGCAGTAACCCTTGGTAACCAGCTACTGCCTTGTGGGTTGACAGTTGAGAACAGAGGGTAAAATAAAAATAAACTATCTTCTATCCCTAAATGTCCCTATACTATTAAAAAATTAAACCCAAATATACTGACACTTTAAACTAAAACAGGTCAGTCAAACCCCAAGATGCCAGGACCTACATAAATAGAATTTCTTGGGTCATGGATTGCTGCTATATGTAGAAATGAACAAACTAAACTTAATTCCATTAAAAATCAACCCTAGAGATTAGGGCAGATGTTTGAGACAATTGCCCCATTACCTCCTAGGAATAGTCTAACCATGCTTATTTGGGTTATGGTAGTACAATTTTTAATCTAAAGCAATTAGTCCAAGAGTAGAGTAAGATTAAAAAAACATAGTGAACTTGAGGCAAAATTTCTGAGTCCCTGAGTTGGTTGTACCAATTTATAAGCGATGCAACACTGGGCAATCATATGGCTACAATGACTAGTCTATCAGCTGGAGATAATAAAACTCACAACACAGAGTTAAATGACATTACATAGAAAAATATCCTGCGCAGTACCTGGCACATAGTAAGCACTCAATAAATGTTTATTGAACATGAGTCCAAAAGGAAACTCCAAGAATATTCTGCTGGTGAGAGCCTCAACTTAGCTTTGGGTGCAACTAAGTTTGAAATTTTAGGCTCTGGTCCCGTGTCCTTGGAGTTAATATTCTGTAGTGCATATGAGATGCAGGATCAATTTATTTCTCAGTGGGAGGATATGCTTTCCATAAAGAAAGCCATCTTCCATTTCATCTACTTTTCATTGTATGAATTGGGTTACAGCCAGGAAGAGGAGAACAGAACTGATAAAAGACACATTTGGTAAATGAGGTTTATCTTTTCAGAAAGAAAGGCAAACACATACCCAAGGTAAAATATAAACTGCTGTGAGAAGTGTATGATCCCTGCCAATTGTATTATAAATAAATACAAAGCCAAAATTGATAAAAGGTCAAGTGTTTGGTAGCTGATCCTTTGTGCTTGAAGAAAACAAACTAGTCCCTGCTTACTGTTATACAAAGACATGCCACAAAGAGGGAGAACCCAAGGAGAGAAGGGGGTGGCTTAGCCCAACCAAACAATGGTAGTATAAATGCTTCAAAGAGCATTTGGCTTACTGATCATGAGTGTATGAAGTCATCTGAGTATAAAAAAAAATGCCCTAAAACACTGAACAGGGGTATTGAATTGACAATGTTGCCATTACAATGAGTCCCTCATTAGACAAAGGCTCTATCCTCAGAACCTGGGAAAGGGTGACTTTGGAAAGGAAGGTTATATTGATTGCTTCACACCAGCTTAATAGTGTTGGTGGATCAGAAGGGAAAGGGAATCTGCGTATATCTCACCAGGACAAAGAGAAGTGCAGGTTATTTTCTGCACTGACATTCCCTCACAAAAGGCCCCACCATTGAGAGGAGCTGGGTTGGTGCAGGTCCGGGAACGTTTCTGCCATCCTCTACCACAGCGAACATTGCAGGCTGACCACTCTGTCCAGGAAGACCAGCCTCCATTCACTGAGAGACAAAAATGGGGAGGGGAGAAAAAAAAGGAGAGAGGTTTTTACTGATTGCCTACTATGTGCAAGCCACTGTGCCAGGTGTTGTGAGCTGGGCATCTGGGGACCAAGAGACTGGTGAGGCAGCCTGGGCCTCACCTCTGCTACCCCTCAATCTACTCATCAGTATTAGGCAGGATCTAGAGAGTGTGCTTTGTGGGGGAAATTATGAAAAAATAGGAAGACTTCATCAAAAGATCTCTAAAGCACTTGAAAATCCAGAGTATAAGAAGAAAATATCAGCATTTGAATTTCTATTACTTTAAGTGCTTTGAATATAAATCCCAAGGCTCTTCTATTATGGAAGGGAATGCCTTTAGTTAAACATCTGGGAACTTCTTTTCTATAATACCTGAGATAGTCAGCAAATAGTAATGTTTGTTTTTGGTGATTTCATATGCCAGGAGAGAAAGCAACTGGCAGAGGGAATTGGGGGCGGGGGGGTGGACGCTGGGTTTGGGAATGGAGAGAAGCAGAAGCTGCCCATTATGCTTTTAAACTATAAGCATAACGGAAGAAAACAAACAACTCTTATTATTATTTTTAAAGGAGAGAGACTGGAAATGTCACTATCTAATTGAAGTCCAATATTGGGCAGAACAGCAAGCACATCAATAGCAAGAGGGAGGTTTCCTCACCTGCCAAGTGGGGGAGGCAGGACAGAGCACTGGAGTGGAGAGCCCCCCAGGTCCTTTCAGCTCTAAGCAGGGAAACGTTTAGTGAAATACACATCTCTCTACTTTTCTGCCTTCTGCCCTCCCTATCCATTCCTGGCCTTTGGGCTGGTCTTACCATAGACCACCACGGTGGCTGACAGGCTCCTCCTCTTGGCTACTATGTTGGCTGCCATGCAAGTATAATTCCCTGAGTCAGAGAGTCGTGCCTGCCTGATGATCAGGTTATGGTCAGCCCTGGTGTCAATGTTCTCATCTTGTTCTGAGTCAATGGGTTCTTCATTTTTCAGCCATTCCACCTACAGGAAGGAAAGAAGGTTTATAAGTTATTTTTAAAAAAATAATAACTCTTCTGCAACCAGAAGGTGATTAGTTCTGGTGTACAGGAAAGGGATGTACCTAACTCATAGTATAATTATGACTTTTTTCTTTATTCCATATCTTATCCTTTTTATTTAGTAAATCTTGTTCTATTCAGGAAATGGATACTCAAATTAATAAACTGAAAGTAGGAAAAGAACACAAACAGTCTACTGACTTTGACCCATTTTTCTAAAAACGCAATAGAAGAGAGAAAAGAGGTGACTGCAATTAGGTCATTTCATTTTATTTCATTACAATACTGCTTCTGCTGCTGCCGCCGCTGCTGCTATTTCAATAACTGGTCCAAAATCGAGCTCAGAGAACCAACACACATGCTGAATTTATACTTTGTTTTGAGAGGCCATTTATTGAACCAAATTTTAAGTCAATATGTTTGTGTTTAAACAAGTTTTAATAAAGGTGTGAGACTGTATAAAGGCCAAAGTAATCCAGATTTGAGTAATGATAGACACATAAATTAAATTCAAATCTTAGTGTTCTCCAGATTTGAAGATCCATTTCTCGGGTGATTAGTTACACGGTTCCTCCAGTGATTCAGCAGACAAGTGAGCTCTGGGTTATGCACCTTACCATGTAAGGCCCAGTCTCTCTGCTGGAGGAGAACATCTCCTCCATTCTCTGAGCAGAGGCTAGTTCTTGATTTATTTCAATCTCTAGAGCTTGTTCCTGGAGAACCTATTGTACTCTCTCCAGCTCCATCTGGATCATATCCTTACTAAGTTTCTCTCTCCTTAGACACCTGAGGGAGAGACAGATGGGAGTCTTCTGCTCCCCAAATCCTCATTCTTGGTCAAGTAAACTTAGCACCCATTTCATGAAGCATGTCAGCCTCCTGTGTGTGATCTTTGTTCCTTCCCTGTTTGTCCTTTGCTTCCAAATCTAAGTAACATTTCAACTCTCCAGTACCATCTTGGTAGCACCGGATATTTCTTCTTTGGCAATGACCGCTTAGCTTTAGTTATCAGAATGTGTAAGCCACAATAATTTAACAGACGTGTAAAGACGAATTTATCATAGCATGCAATGACAGTGACTATTCCAAACAGATCTCATATGAAAACATAAGCACCAGGGGGCATTTTGTCACATTCTTCCCAATAGGTATGTTAATTGAAAGTTGGTTTTAGAATAGGATGCTTCATTTCATTTTGTATTTAAATATAAAAAAAAAAATCTAATTTACCACCAGTAAACAAGTGGCATCTGTTATAATAATAGTTTGTTATAATGATGGCCTCTTGGTCTTTATAAAAAGGGATTTACTTATCACAGGAAAATCTATCATGATCCTTCAATACTTACCCCACATACCACTTCATTCATGAGTTTAGATACCAAAACTCATCACCCTCCAAATTTACCCAGGGAAAGTCAACTTGAGAAAAAGGAAATGATGCCAAATAGAAGAGGAGATCTGAGGCCTCCCGGAGAACACAAAAGAGAGCTATAAAAGCCAAGTGGTACAGGACCATGAAACGGAAAAGCATATCTCCCTAGCAGCATCCAGAATCGCTGCGGACATCACTAAGTTCCAACTTGGAGCGGCAGCTACTAATAATGGCATGGAGTCCAGAAGCACAGCTATCTGGAAAATACAGGGTAGTGGAACAGATTACAGTCCACAGTCGACTGACATCTGTGACCCAATGTCCTCCTTTATCACTACCATTACATAATTCAGAGTCATTCATTTAGTTATTGACAAATATGTGAATTCTTTGACTACCAAAGGTTGTATTGAGTGCTGCGTAAAGTGATGTGAACAAAACCAAAATGCCCCCTTCTCTTCTAGATCTTACATTCAATAAGTAAATCCATGTCTTCACCCGAAAATAACACCATCACCAACCTCTAAGATGAAAAGCTTCCTGTAAGGCCAGTAGAATTAGATTCTGAAAGTCAGCACCACGCCCATGTCACTGGACAGAACAACCAGGTCTAAACCACACAGGTCTGAGGGCTGTCGCTTCACCTGTATTCTCCTCTGGTTCACAAATCCAGGTGGGAATTGCTAATTGTTCATTCCCGAGGTTTGCTATTTGTAGCATTTATAAGGCTCTCCCCGTCCTCTTGCCGTTCTTCTTTATTCTTCCCAAACAACTGGCCAGAAAGTAGGGGAAGTCTGACACTGGTCCACAGATAAATTATTCATAGAGAGTAGACAGAGAGTCCTGTGGGAAATGGCCTTGGAGACTGAAACGAAGACAGTCCCAGCACCTGGGAAGGAAAGAAAGCTTTCCTAACGGAATCTGGGCCCAGGGGTGATTAAAGTCACAGTTACCAGCAGAGATTTGGCTTTGGATTGAAAACTTACAGAAAAATAAACCATGCATGAAGCAAACTAGGCCAAGAAACTAGGAAATCATGTGCCAGAAATTTGATAAATAACAGATTCACACAAGTGATATATATGATAAGAATAATATGAACATCTGAAACCCTCATTTAACTTGACAAAATCCCATCCCAGTAAACATGAGTATACACTTCATTAAAAATAACAACAAAACTACATGACAATTAAATAACTGAATAAGTATTCTACACCACTAATAACAGAAAAGCTAAACAACATCCTAGAGGTGCTTCCTAAGAAAAAAGCAAAGGGTATACTACATCGCTACCCCTCCTCTCCACACTTCCTTGTTTTCCTAGTTTCTTTGATTTTTGCTTGGAGAGAAGACAAAGGCTATTTCAGCTACTACTGCACTACCATTATATCTTTATTAACTGATCTGTCTGTGGCTTCCATTCTTGCCTCCACACCCGACTCACCACCAAGGGATCCAGGAATGCCACTTTCTAGCTAGAAATCCTTTAATGGACTCAAATTCTTCCCAAGCCTCATTAAAGTCCTTTGTGTACAGAGCTGCTCCCTATCAGATACCCACCTCAGATCCTTCTAGGAACTCCAGCCAAAATCCACTGAAGCCCTACCTACTGGATTCCTTTCTCTTCAATAAAATTCAAAGCAAGTTCCAACCTCAGGGCCTTGATACCTGCTGATCTCTTTGCCCAGAAGACCTTTCCCACGGGCATTCCCCAGGCTTCTCTCACTTCCTACTCAGGGCTCAGATCAGATATTGAACCCTTTCTAGAAAAGGAAGCCCCTTCTACTCACCCACTTTGCTTTCACTGTTTTCCTAATACTTACCTCCACCTGATAGTCTTAAAGATAGTAATACCTATTATATTACTATACCTATTACATCAATATACCTATTACTTATCATATTTTTTGTCACTATGAACTTAGGAATTTACCAAAAGAAAGTAGTAGAAATGCAAATGAGGATTTAACCAAATTCAATTATTTGGGGTAGGAAAGGAGAAAGGAAGGGAGGGAGGAAGAAAGGAAGAAAACAAATGAAGCACGTCAAAGTAGCACACCAAAGAATAAGGTTTTGTTTCAGTAATTCACAATTTATCAATATGATAGCATTATACAGGCATTAAAATTATGATTTCAACAAGTGAAAACACAGAAAATGCTGATAAAACACAAGAGTCAAAATATAAAATTGTATGTTTAGTGTGATCTCAAATTTGTAAAACAAAATAGGATCACGAACTCATACATGCTTAAAAGATAGGAAGAAACACATTATGTTCACAGAGGTCATAAGTAGAGCTAACTGTTCTTCCAAGTAGGTAATTGTGACACTTTTAAGGAAAAGCTTTTTTTTTTTAATTGATTTTATTTTTTAAAATACCCAACAGCAGAATGCATTACAATTCTTATTACATATATAGAGCACAATTTTTAAGGAAAAGCTTTTGTAATCTGAAACAAACAAAAACAAACAAAAAACAAAACACCCCACCCCCAAAACACCCTTTTATTTCTCATGTAGCACAGGAATTTTCAAATTTGTATTTAGCCATTGAAACTTTCTTAAATTCAAACTTATCTGAAAGCCCCAAGTGAAAAATGAATAAATAAGCAAAGACTTTAAGCCTGATGCAGTTATGAGGCTTTTTGAGCTGCAGATGGGAGGGACCAAAGCTGCCTAAGCTGGGCCACTCCGAGGTACCCAGTTTGTGTAAATCCAGAGAAGAGGAGGCACACCCTTCTCTGTATACATCTGATGCCCCTAGAGATGCTCAGTTCACAGCCTATGCTACTGTGTGAGCTGGCCCTGCTCTACAGCCTACCCCTCTCTCATCCTTAATACTATGGGCACACCCTGTGGTTTGCTACTAGGTTTCCATATTATATTCTGGTATACTTGGTGTTCATAGTGTCACAACTGAGGTCCATCAACCCAATGATGTCTATAAACAATCAGCACATTAGTAGGGTCCTAACTATGCAGCTGTTTTTTATTTGTAACCTAATAGTTTATCCATTTAACTGATGGCAGGATCTTTATGAGGAAATCAGTTTGGTATTTTCAGAGCTTATAAAAGTGACAAATTGTACTTAGATTTATGCTTTTGTCACTTAGAGAATCTTTAAAACATTTCTGATGAGCTAAGTGCTCCTAATGTAGAATAGTGTAATAAATAAGACACACATAGAGACATGCACACACACCTGTGTGTGTGTGTGTGTGTGTGTGTGTGTTCATGCTCACATTCTCCACACCAGCAGTTGCAAATTCTAGTATTCTTGGTGGCCAGGAAGGTAATATAAATTAGTGAGGTGGCACAGTGTGCAAGATAGCCATGTGCATTGTCTGCATATTAAAGACAAGAGACTATTCTTCATTTCCACAGAGGAATGAGCTCATGCTCATTTTTCTTAAAAAAGTGTGGCACTTTCTGTCTCCTTTTGCATTCCCACTTTAGACAGAGACATAGGTCTTTCTTAAAAAAAAAAAAAAGATAGCACACAATGTAAAATGACAATGAACTCATTTTTGCTCAAAAATCATTTTGGTTTTTAATGCATCATACTGGTCTTCAAATTTAT